CTGTAATTCCAGCTGCTCGGGAGGCTGAGGCAGGAGAATAGTGAAGGAGGGAAGGAAGGAAGGGAGGGAGGAGAAAGGAAGGAGCGCTCGCCAGGTGTAGTGCCTAGGGAGGCCGAGGTGGGCGGATCACGAGGTCAGGAGTTCGAGACCAACCTGGCCACCATGGTGAAACGCCGTCTTTCCGAAAAATACAAAAATTAGCAGGGTGTGGTGGTGCGCGGCTGTAATCCGAGCTACTCCGGAGGCTGAGGCAACAGAATAGCTGAAACCCGGGAGGCAGAGGTTGCAGTGAGCCGAGATTGCGCCACTGCACTCCAGCCTGGGTAACAGAGACTCCATCTAAGAAAAAAGAAAAGAGGCCGGGCGCGGTGGCTCAAGCCTGTAATCCCAGCACTTTGGGAGGCCGAGGCGGGTGGATCACGAGGTCAACAGATCGAGACCATCCTGGTCAACATGGTGAAACCCCGTCTCTACTAAAAATACAAAAAATTAGCTGGGCATGGTGGCGCGTGCCTGTAATCCCAGCTACTAAGGAGGCTGAGGCAGGAGAATTGCCTGAACCCGGGAGGAGGAGGTTGCGGTGAGCCGAGATCGCGCCATTGCACTCCAGCCTGGGTAACAAGAGCGAAACTCTGTCTCAAAAAAAAAAAAAAAAAAAAAGAAAAAAGAAAAGAAATAGGCGCTCGGTTAATGCTTGAACAAAAGGAGAACTCCGCACAGACCCTGGCGTCCAGGTCCGTCAAACTCAGGCCTGGGGCTCCAGGGCTGGGCACCCTTGAGCGGCAATGTGGCCAGCGATAACAACAGGTTCAGATGCACTGTCAAGCGATTGGTCCAGGCAGCGCCCGGAACCGGCCAGCTGCAGGAAGCTGCCAGCCCAGCTCTCTCGCGCCGGCGCCGGCGCGTCGCTCCCAGAAAGGTCACATCCGGTCGGAGCCCAGCGAGCCGCCGGAGTCGAGCGGGACGCCGAGGGAGGGCGGGATCCTGACGCGCGGGGCGGGGCCTCGGCGGGGCGGGGTAGGGAGGGGCCTCGGCGGGGCGGGGCCCTGACGGGCCAAGCTCCCGGGCGTCTGCCAGCCGGGCCGGCGCTGCAGTTGAGCTGCGTGGTGGCTGTGGCAGGTGAGAGCCTCCGGAAGGAAGGCGGCCTCTGGCCCCGACCCCACTCCACGATCTCTCACTCGGGCGCCCGGCCGGGCCTGTCAGGGAAGGGCCGCCACCGCCGCCGCGCGTTCGCGAGGCCTGGCGCAGCCGCAGGGCCCAGGAATGGCGTAAGGGTCCCCCCAGACCTCGAGACGGCCCGAGCGGGTCGCCGGCTGTGGGACGGCGGCGTGCTCTTCCTTTCCTCCCTCCCAGGTTCGCACCCAAGCTCTGCTAGCGACCCGTCCGACTACTTCCGGACTCCCAGGTAGGGAGGAGCCCGTGTCAGCGCTGCCAGTTACCCCGAACACATGGCCGATGTGCAAAGAGCATCCATCCGGGCCAGGACTCCCTCCCCTGCCTTGTGGGTGCATCTGCTCAAACTCTGTCGGCCCCTCAAGCAGAAATGGTGTGGGATCTCAGCCAAACCCCTCTTGCAGTGACTCAAAGCCGACAGCCCTTCTGGAGGGATGGGGCATGCGGTTGGATGGCCCCTAACCTTTCCCTCCTGTACTGATTCATGCCACCGTGGTGGCTATAGTCCTGCTGCCTTCATCTTTGCCCCTCTACTTTGCTTCTCCCACCCCACTGGTTTTCCTGCCTCCCTCTTCAGAGGTAAGACGCATGGCTGGACCAAGGCCTCCAGGGTAAGTGACCCAAACTTCAAGCCAGCAGAGGCCATATGATCCTGAGCTAGGGATAGGGGAGGCTCCTAGGTATGAACTTGTGACTTAACCTAATCTCTGCTCCCTACTTCCACCTCACCCCAGGCTCAAATGACAGGAGACCAGGGCTAAAGACTGATAGGATCTACAGAGGACTGGGACAAAACAGTGCATTTTAACCTGCTGTGGCCCCTTCCTGGTTGCCCCAGTTCTAGCAGGCGATGTGACACTACGGTGGTCACTGTCCACATTGAGAAGTTGAGGGAGGTGCTGCTGGTCCCTAGAAACACTCATAGCTCCACTGGGAGTTTGAGGCTCTGGTAGGGGTGCATGTGGGCACAGGGAGGAGCCCTGGATGTAACACAGTGGCTCTGTGAGCTCACATTCTGGGACCAGTGGGAGCACTGACAAAAGGAGGAGAAACACCCCATTAGACATGTGGCTCTGACCCACTCCTGCTGCCCCTTCTGTTAACTTCCCTGGGGAGGGAGGACCCGTCCCCAGCAGAACCCTCATCGAGGCACTGCAGGGGCAGGTAGAGTGGTCCAGGGAGCCACAGCCGAATGGCACTCAAGGGCCAACACTAGGCATTGCCTCTTCATTCCTGAGCGTGGGGCAAGGGTCCCTGCTGAGTTTTACTCTTAGCGTGGGCTTCCAGATCCCCATGCTTCTGGGTTCTTGACTGCGTGCCCTCACCAGCCACCTCTCTGTGTCCCTTACCTCCTCAGGGAGAACCCTGCCATCAAGGAAGGCAGCACGGGACCAGGACCCACCCATGAACCCTTCTCAGGACAACCTAACAGCACCAGTGGGGATGCTCTCCTAAGCCACAGAGAGCCTGGGCAGGCCATCCGTCCTCCAGGAAGAGCCATGGTATTAATGCAGGGCAGGGAGAGCTCTCAGCAGTGGCCTGGGCTGGGAGGCAGGGGTGGTGGCACAGGTCCCGCAGACATGCTCAGAGCTGCCCTGCTGCTCATCAGCCTGCCATGGGGGGCCCGAGGGACAGCCAGCACCAGCCTCAGCACCACTGTGGGCCACACTGTGCCATTGACTGGGGGCCGCTACTTGAGCATCGGAGATGGCTCTGTGATGGAGTTTGAATTTCCTGAGGAGAGTGAGGGCATCATCGTGATCTCTAGCCAGTACCCAGGCCACGCCAATGGGACAGGACCCAGCCCCACCCTGAGGGTCACATCCCTGGATACAGAGGTGCTGACCATCAAGAATGTGAGTGCCATAACCTGGGGAGGTGGGGGCGGCTTTGTGGTGAGCATCCACTCCGGCCTGGCTGGGCTGGCCCCACTCCACATCCAGCTTGTGGTCGCCCATGAGGCCCCGCCCACAGTGATCGAGGAGCGGAGAGATTTCTGCATCAAGGTCTCACCTGCTGAAGACACCCCTGCTGCCCTCAGTGCCAACCTGGCCCACTTCTCGGAAAACCCAATACTCTACCTGCTCCTGCCTCTTATCTTTGTCAATAAGTGTTCGTTTGGGTGCAAAGTGGAACTTGAGGTTCTGAAGGGGCTCATGCAGAGCCCCCAGCCCATGCTGCTGGGCCTCCTGGGCCAGTTTCTGGTCATGCCCTTATATGCTTTCCTCATGGCCAAGGTCTTCATGCTGCCCAAGGCCCTCGCTCTGGGCCTCATCATCACCTGCTCGTCGCCTGGTGGCGGGGGGAGCTACCTCTTCAGCCTCCTTCTTGGAGGGGATGTCACCCTGGCCATCTCCATGACTTTCATCTCCACAGTGGCTGCCACTGGTTTCTTGCCACTGTCTTCAGCCATCTACAGCCGCCTGCTCAGTGTCCATGAAACACTCCACGTGCCCATCTCCAAGATCCTGGGGACCCTGCTGTTCATTGCCATCCCCATAGCAGTGGGCGTGCTCATCAAGTCCAAGCTCCCCAAGTTCTCCCAGCTGCTGCTGCAGGTCATCAAGCCCTTCAGTTTTGTGCTCCTCCTGGGTGGCCTCTTCCTGGCCTATCGCATGGGGGTCTTCATCCTGGCAGGCGTCAGGCTACCCATTGTGCTTGTGGGTATCACGGTGCCCCTGGTTGGCCTGTTGGTGGGCTACTGTTTGGCCACGTGTCTGAGGCTGCCAGTTGCCCAGCGGCGGACAGTCAGCATTGAGGTAGGGGTGCAGAACAGCCTGCTGGCCTTGGCCATGCTACAGCTATCCCTCCGCCGCCTTCAGGCTGACTATGCCTCCCAGGCCCCCTTCATTGTGGCACTGAGCGGCACCTCCGAGATGCTGGCCTTGGTCATCGGCCACTTCATCTACAGCAGCCTGTTCCCAGTTCCCTGAGGCCTCTGGGTCAAGCTTTCGTCAGCCCCAGCCCCCACACTCCACCTACCGTCCCCAGAGTTCTTGTGTACCAAAGGCCTTTAGTTCTCACGCTCTATGCACTCAGAAAAATCCAGGCTTATTTTTTTTACTGATTTTCTTATTCTCCAGCTTTCAGTGCCAAGGAGGCCATGCTGAGTTAGGTAGGTGGGCACTGCCCAGAAAATATATTTCAATAAAAGACAAAGGCAAGCTTGGGTCCCTTCCAATCTTTGCCGTTTGGTGCCTAGGCTTGGGGGTAGAGTGTGCTGGGTAGGTGTGGACCAGGGTGTAGGACCAGCTTGGGTGACACGGTGACCCCTGCACAGGCTTTCTCTATCAGCCCTCCCCGGGCGTATCCACACTCTGGGAGAGGTGGAGGATGAGAGTAGAGGCCTGGCTCCCCTGCCCGCTCTCAAGATCGGTGGGGTGTTTTGCAGCCAGACCAGAAAGGAGGAGGCAGAAACCCAGGGGGCAGGGGGTGGGGGCGGGCCGTCTGTGGGTTTGCAGGGCCCGGCTCCGCCAGCAGTCAGGACACGTGGGGTGGTCCAGGCCATCCGCGGGGGTGAGCGTACCTCCTGGCCCTTCCTTCTCCATGCCCCAGCTCCTAGATGACGCCAACCTGGCCCGACTGGTTCTAGCTCCCAGATCCCCCGCACTGTGGCTTTGGGAAGGGTCCGCCGGCTAGGGCAGTCGCTGCGCGTTTGCGAGGCGGGACCCCAGGGGGACTCCTCCTCCCGGGGCGCAATTGGGCCGGGGGGCGTGGATGGGGCCTGAACGGGGCAGGAGGGCGGGGCCGGGAAGCGCGGGCGGCGGGCGCGCCCCTCCCGCTGCTTCCGGCGGCGGCGGGCGGATCCGGCGCGCGCCCGGGGCGGCGGCGCGCGGCGGGGGGTGGTTGCGCTGCGCGCCCGCCCGAATGGACGCCGCCGCGGCCGCCATGCAGCTGACGGTGAAGGCGCTGCAGGGCCGCGAGTGCAGCCTGCAGGTAGGGTCCCCGGGCCGGGCCGCCGGGCCCGTCAGTCGCCAGCTCTGGCAGGAGGACCGGCAGGGCCGAGGGCGGGCACGGGGCGGCCGGGCCGGGGGCTGGTAGCCGAGAGAGCTGCCCTAGGTAGCGGACGCGTGGGCTTCGCCGCCCGAGGGCCGTGGGCTCAACCCCTGCCTCCCACCCTCGGCGCGGCCAGGTGCCGGAGGACGAGCTGGTGTCCACGCTGAAGCAGCTGGTCTCAGAGAAGCTGAACGTCCCCGTGCGCCAGCAGCGGCTGCTCTTCAAGGGCAAGGCCCTGGCAGGTACCCAGGGAGAGGAGACGCCCAGGGAGCCCCGCAGGAAGCGGGGCTGGGGTGCTCCGGCCGCCTCAGCAGCCGTGTGACGGGTCGGGGTGCCGGCGCCCAGCGCCACTTGACTGCAGGGGAGGCGACCGCATGCTGCACAGCCGAATGTCGCATCGCTCCGCTCCCGCCGCCCGAGGCGGCCTCACGTCCTGGGGCACCCCCACGGCGGCAGGGAGGAACTCATCGAGCTGTCTTTGGCAGATGGGAAACGACTCTCGGATTATAGCATCGGGCCCAACTCCAAGCTCAACCTAGTGGTCAAACCCCTGGAGAAGGTGCTACTAGAAGGCACTGGCCGGAGACTGGCCGACTCCCCACCCCCACATGTCTGGCAGCTGATCTCCAAAGTCTTGGCCCGTCACTTCAGCGCGGCAGATGCCAGCAGGGTCCTGGAACAGCTACAGAGGGTGAGAAGGGCAACCCTGGACATCCTCTCCAGGCCCAGCTGCTCCCAGCCCCCTACTGCCAGCCGCTGAATCTTCCTGCCTTTCTCTCCCCAGGATTACGAGAGGTCCCTGAGCCGACTGACGCTGGACGACATCGAACGGTTGGCCAGCCGCTTCCTGCACCCAGAAGTGACTGAGACGATGGAGAAGGGTTTCTCCAAATAGCATTCTCAGAGTATGGGGAGGTGCCCAACGCCAGTCCGCGGCTGAACGTCACACAACGTGTGTTCTCCTGCTGTAGTTGGGCTCATAATAATAGCTGCCAGGTACCTGGCTCTGGCTGGGTGCTAGGCACCACTCACAGCCTGACCTGGGTTTGCTTCCACACCCTTGGAAGAGGTGAGCCAGCACAGCGGAGGTGATGCAGTGGCAGAGCCCCAGTTGGAGTCCAGCAGCCTCTGAAAGTGCCTTGATGTGACAAGGAGGAAGGGGCTGCCTGGAGAGCTGAGCTCTCGTGTCATATTTAGCCCACTGAGAATATACACTCAAGCAACTCCCTCCCAAGCCTGAAAGGGGAAGCAGCTGTCACCTGACCTCTGGCGGGTCCAGCATAACCCTCAGCTCACCGCTGCAGGAGGCCAAGTTGCAGCCAGCCCTGGCTCCCCCAGCTGCTACAGCCAGTGTGCGTTCTACAAATGGAAAAGCAGGTTGGGGTCAGGGAGTGAGAAAGTCACCCCAGTTCTCTGATGTGACTTCGGGCAAGTCTCAGTGCCACTTTGCTCCCCAGCCACAGACTCTATACAGTGAGGGCCACTTCCCGATCTGAGTCAGTGTCCGCTGCCCTTACCCCAGCCCAGGGTGGGGAGTGTTAACAGTGCTCTTCTCCCTTCTGTTCAGTAAACAAACTGAAGCCAAAAACAAAGCGTGGCCAAGTGTGACCCAGAGATGGGTGGCCTGGCCTTTGGTGACACAGCTCTTCTCTGGGGCACCCTGTCTGCTTGTCTCCTCCTCCAGGAAGCATTAGGGCTGATGGGTGACTCAGCAAGGCAGTGTCAGAGCTGGGACTGGTGGAGGCGTTCATCCTCATCCCCAGCACTTGCCTCCGTGTGGAAGACGAACACATCCCAGCCACCTGTGCAGACGGGCTCACTTCGTATGCTCCTTTTTGCCTGAGAGGAAACCTTGGGGTGCCAAGGTGGGGGCAGAAGCATGGGCTGGGTTCCACTTCCTCCTCCACCCTGCCCTGCACGTGGGCACTAGAGGACATTGAAGCACCTGCTCCTTGGAGGAGGCCCCCAGGG